AGATCTCACTTTGCGACCATTCTAGCGATGAAATCTTCGTACCGGATCTTCCCGTCAGATCCAACATCAACTTCACGGATCCACTCATCGAATTCGCTCGGCTCAAGTTTCTCGCCGATACTTGTGAGTATATGCCTCAGATCCGCAGCAGCGACGAATCCAGAGCCTTCCTTGTCGAGCACCTTGAAGGCATCACGAAGCTGGCGATCGAACGGCTCCGTTTTCAAATGTTTTGCCATGAGATCGAGGAATCGATTGAAATCGAAAGGAGAAGAGAGATTCTCAGTTGCGATGATTGATTTGAGCTGTGCTTCTGTGGGATTTCCGCCGAGTGATCGCATTAGGATTCCGAGCTCCGACGGTGCGATTTTACCGTCGCCGGCGGTGTCGAAGAGCGTGAAAGCTTCTTTCATCGAAGAGACCTGATCGTCGCTCAAACCATCCTTGCCCATCTTCGATTCTTCCGGGTTTTCGGGTCGATCTTCTTGTCCTTTGCTCTCTCCTTAGTAATTTGAAGGACAGTGTGACAAAAAACGTCGTCGTTTTGATCCATGGCTGAAATAAATGGGCCTAGCCCATTATATGCAAAAACAATATATATAGGTCTCTGATAATTTTGGTAAACCTTGAATTAGTAGATTAATTATGAGATCGCACCCTTGATTAATGGTTTTGATTAGTAACATTAGAGGATTCCTTCTTTTATTCTTTCTTGCGCCGATTATAGAATTTTTGTTTGTGTTTTTGTTTTTTGATCAGTGACATGGAAATGTTTTAAAATAAAAAAGTACAAAGAAATGAATGCAATTTACAAATAAGAAGACATAGACGTAGTAGCTGAGTAGTACACAATTCAATCTGAACCTAATTTACTTGCTAATCAAAGATTTGTCGATTCAATCTAGCAGCTTTGAGTGAAGAGATCATTGATTCACCTTCTTGAGAAAGACTCTTTCTTTCTACAAGTCTAAGCCCTAACTTATTGCGCAAGTATTCATTTCTCAACTCATCTCCCTCCATTTCACCCAGCTCCAAAGCTAGTCTTCTTGTCACTAAACCGTAAAGCCAAACACCCGATTCGGGTTTCTCCATTTGAATGATGCTAACTCTCAACAATGACATGGAATCGGGTTCATCCGAATTCGGAGTAAACAACAAGGAGAACTTCCCGAATGTTAAATCGGGTGTCTCGAATAACTGATCCAAACAGCTGTT